AAATTACATTAAAATTTTAGTGGATTTAATAATTCTAATTACCATTATTCTTGTGTGAATTTACGTTGGAGTTTTTTTTTTTCATAATTCAACTGTTAGAAATTGTCATTTGTCATTGGAATTGTAAAAAAATCAATGATAATTGCAGTGACAGATCCAAAATAATTTCATATTTAGGACACCGTTTAGTTAATAAAGATGGCATACCATCAAAATAACACAATGTCCCTACAGTTAATAAATTATAATTTTCATAATTTGTCATCTTTCTCATTTGTCATACTTTTTACGCTATTGAAAATATTAAATAAAAAAATTATAATTTTTCTCAATTGAACATAAGAAAATCATCGAAACTAATAAATGTTTTATTTTTTACGAACAAATAATTTATGTATAGTTGACTTGACCAAATAATTGATTAACTTATAAAGTATAAACGTATAACTAGAATTCCACATACATTAGTTAAAAAAGACATAAAAATTATATTTTGAAGTTAGGGAGAAAAACTATTGCAAAAGAAATGATAGAAGCTACCGCCAAGATTCAAAAAATAGAATTAAAGTTTAAATTGTAAATATTGATATGTATCATATTTCCTTTAGTTGACATAGATTATGTTATGACTTTAATAAAGTAATGAGCTGAATTAAATTATAACCGGTTGAGTTGTAAATTAGTTCATTATATATCTTTCTTTCTTTCAATTTTATTTTCTAAATAGGGGGCATGATTAAAAATGAAAAAATGTTCCCATAATTTTTGTTAGATACCTTATGCTATATGTTTTTGGATGAGAATATGTGTCGGACCTATTAAATAAAACAAAGAATTTGCCCATGGTTTCAAAGAAATATTTTTGTAAGATTTTCTTTGGAAAATTCAAAAGAGAGTAATAACATTGCAACATTCGTTAGAATTGTCGTTGAAATTCCGTTATAATGTACTTTCAGTGAAATTTCCTGAAATTTCATCTTTTTCTTGTAGTAAATGTAGGACTCCAAAAATTATCGTTTAACTTATGATAATTGGTAATTTTTAAAAACAAAAAATATACATCTAGGTTGAAAAGTCTTTTATTATTTTATTAGTTTTTTAATAACTCAACAAGGGGCAAAAATGATTTCCTATGTAATTAAAAAGTAAGATTACACAATGAGAAAGCTTATAGCTCGAATTTAATCCAAAAGTAAAAAGTAATAAAATTAATTAATGTCCTACAACAATTGGAGTTGACTAATGAGAAATATAAAATATACTAAAGATGCAAATTTATTTTAACTAGAACTTTTAACTATATGAAAAAATATATATATATATATATATTACATTAAAAATTGGTATATTAGTCTTAATTATTTTAGTTAAAAATTTAATTACTTTCTACCATTAAAATTTTCTAATTTGAAATACTTAATATTTTTATTCGTTATAGTTTTTATATGTAATAATCACATCATTTCTTTCCAATCATGTTTGATTTGACCTATATAATATTAATAAAATAAAAATAATATAATTATATATCGATATAAAATTAATATATATAAATATATATATAGACCTAAAAGTATCTTATGAATAAAATAATAAATTCATGTTAAATCAATTTTATTAAGTATAAAATAACAATTAAACTTTGGGTATTTTTATTATAAAGATTTAAAATATTCATTCTAAAAAAATATATAATATAATACAAACGTACCACTATAACCAACATTAACCATGTTAATTAAAAGAAAAAAATAAAGGAGTTGTATGTTAAACTATTATTCAATTACTGTTTAAAAAAGAGCACGTTCTAATGTATGTTTTTTTGTAAATATGAAAATGAGTTAGCATCTTAATATTTTATCAAACACTGAAAAAATAATCCTAAAGTTTTAATCTTATAACCAATATAATATATTTTATCAAATATATCATTATTATAAATAAATAAATATTAAATAGTATTTTATCTTATGTTATTATATCACGTGTAGCATAATAAATAAGATATTTTGATAATAACATCAATGTATAAAACAAGTACAAAAAAATGACGCAATGCATATAAATGTTCTCTAATTCTTTCATGTAATATATGATGATTTCAAAAAATAATTTAGCGCCTCGTTTGAAGAAAGTGTAACTAAGATTTTGGAAAGTCAACTTTATCTAGAGATGAAATTCGATATCACCCCATAGGCTATGCCTCCATGGGTAGATACCAATTTTTCTATATGGAAAAAAAATAATGTAGTAGTTTATACAATGATGATGATGATGATAAAAAAAATAAAAAAAAATAAAAAAAAAATAAAATTATTTTAGTGACACAGTTTGTTATTTCACATAGATATTCATAAACTGTTAGTAGAAATACCTTATAAAAGAATTTGACTATATGTTTGGCCAAAATAATTCGAAGTGTTCGAATAAAGTAAACGTTTTGACAAATGAATTAATAAGAATTTTGCAATACTATTAATGCATTGAGCTCCAACGGGTATGAATGTTTTGAGAATGTCAAAACTAAAACGAAAGAAAATTACTCTTGAATCATCTAACATAAATAAATAAAAAAAGCCTAATGTATTTATAAAGTACATTAGGTCCTTGTTTAGTTATTTTTTTTTTTTTATTATTACAGACGCATTGTTTATATATATATATATATATTTTTGTTGGAGTTGTAATATGTTGTATCATTCTTTTTATATTAGGACATCATTATATTATTTTTGAAATAAAAAACATTAGGAGCTCATTTTTGCTACATTTTATTTAGTTCCTACAATGATATGTTTAATAAATTAATTAATTTTTGTTACTAAACTTAATCGGCCAAAAACATTTAACAACACGTGCATCGCACGTGTACTTTACTAATACCTAAAAAAGAGGAAAAACAAGAAAAAGTTAAAGAGGGAGTTTTGTGCCTCAGGTTCAGAAGAATTATAATCATAATCTAAACGTATGAGGAGAGTTTTGCTATATATCCGCGTACACTTCTGGTTTTCTTTTCGCACAAATAAAATCCTTTTAAGGATTATTGCCCAACACCCGGTTTCCACTTGCTAACACTACCAAGTTTTATTTCTCAACTAGTTTTTGTTTATGCTACTTTTAACCAAGTCAGCAAAAATACCTCGGGTGCCATATAGCCAAGGGTTCCCGTTTCACCCGTCATGTCTCTAGGATTCTGAGCTTCAACACGAGCAACACCAAAATCAGCGATTTTCAATGTTTTATTATTATCCAACAACATATTCTCAGCTTTCACATCACGATGCACAATCTTTTTTGAATGGAGATAGCTCAGTCTGCATATATATAGTTAGTTGTACAAGATTAGTTACGCACATGAGAAATCTCGGAAAGAGTTTGCATAAACTAAAACACGTAACAAGGGTAATGATACTTTTACCCTCTGGATAAATCCCGAGCAAGTTGGACCACAACTTTCAAAGGGAGCTTCTTCTTCCTGTTCTTGTACAAATAGTTCTTGAGGGTCCCACCAGTAACAAATTCCACAACGACACAACACGCCCTCGAGGGTAGTGTTGTAAAACCCTCGGACGGGTTTTTTGAAGGGATTTTAAATTGCGAAGTCCCCATCGAAGCACCAATAAACTGTGAATTGAGAAGAAAATAACGACAACAAAGGAAAAATGGTGCAATAAGAACTCTAACTTGGGAATGGGATCATGAGAGAAATAATAAGAACTAGGTGAAAATTAAGGCACTTGTTCTGCAGGACACAATTGTTAACTATTTCAGAAAGAGAAAGATGGTAAGGGGATGTTTAAAAGGACTAATAAAGATAAATTACTCGAGTGACATTCGGGTGGTCGAGCTTGTGCCAGACAGCAACTTCCTGCTTAAATGAGGCTCGAAGTGCGGCAGTCTCGGCAGCTGTGGACATGCCATCTTCTCCCCAATCCAATAGTTTCACTTTAATATACAGAGATGTGGAAATATTAGGATTTGTCATTGACATTTGTCAGAGAAAAGAAAAAGACAAAACAACAAATTCAGAGAATAGTGACTAATTCTAACTGAAAAGTGAAAAAACTATGGGCTCAAAAGAAACATTCCGCAAAGCAGCATACTTTAGATTGACTTCTTTATTTTGTTTTTATTTCATATATCACTAATGGATAAAAATTGCATATGTTTCTGAATTATGGTCTTGTATTGCATGAACAGGACTCGAGCTTGTCGATTGGAACAAGTAGTTAAAGCAAGCGATATTCGTTTTCAACTGTGGAGGGTTTGAACTCGTGCAGAATTAAATTTTATTACAAAAATTATCACAACAAGATATTGAAATTGAAACCAAATAATTAAAAAGAAAGAGAAAAGTGTAGGACAACAGAAACTCAACAGAAAAAAACTAGCTAGGCCAAAAAACAAAAGAGAGGAGAAAATTTAATGATGCAGATCCGGTGTACAATGTATGAAAATTTAATGATGCAGATCCGGTGTACAATGTATACCAAGAACCACCTAATGTGTGCATATAACTAGCAATAGGTTTAGTAAAGAAAAAAAAAACAATAAATCGAATCATATACGAGCACGAAACCCCAAGGACAGAAGTACTGCCTAACCCAATCCTAGCAGCCTAAAGTCTCTTCACCACATTTTGAACAAAACTATATATCGATTAAGGTCAACCAAGACAAGAGATCCAATTTCATCTGTTTGAAATCCAAAGGCTCTCCTCATTAATCATACATAGCACAAACCAAACAACATGACATCAAATTACCTTCACACAACCCAAAAACAAAAGAGCAATAAGGATAAGCCATACAACAAAATCAATGCACAACATGAAAACCAACATATTTTAGCTGATCCACCACCCTACAAAATCGAATAAAACTAAATGCATAATAAATAATTTTTACCAGCAACATCCTGAGAATTATAGGTTCCCCTATACACCGTCCCATAAGTCCCCTGAGCCACAAGGTACCGGATTTCGAGCTTGGAGGGGTCGATTTCCCATATCTCTTTCGGCTTGTTCTTGCTCTCGTTGTTGTCTGTGTTTCTCGACCAGACCCGGCTGAGGTGTTTCTCGAGCTGCAAATCGAGGTTCTTGAGGTCGATCTTATCCGCCCGGAAAATCATGTCCTTGCTGCTTATGCTCCCATGGGCCGCCGCCAAACCCTTTGATTTCGAGTCCTCAAGGATCTCAGACGATATTCCCGATTCGCCGCCGCTCCCTTTCGCATCCATTCTTTCAGCTGGATGCAAAAGGCACGCCTGATCTTCAAACAGTGTTTCAATAAAATGATT